GGGAGAGAGGGCTGAAAACCTGACCCACAGAGTCTCTAACTGCCACACTAGCTGTCCCTGGCGTGAGAAGCTGCCTGGCCTCCTTCCCTAGGACTTATTTCCTCTGTTTCTTCCCCAGAGCAGGAGACTCATAACCCCAGGTGCCAGACCAGTAGAAAAAATAAGCAAAGACCATGATCCTAAGGAGTTAGCGCACAGAACTGAGGGGGACCAGAGTGGCAAAGGTCTCGATAGAGGATGGAGGTGGGGGTGGGGGGGTTCCACGGAAGAAAGTAAAAGCTTTACAGCTGTGGTTCTCTGGTGTGGAATATTAGCTGGAGATGTGTCACACTTGTTATACTGAGGAATATTTGTTTAATGAAGCAAGGGTTGTGTTGTGTTCACGTTGGATTTGTTTAACTCAGTGAAGCTATGTTACTCTGCTGCCTAAAACACCTGATTGGAGCCAGGTGGTGGTGGCACAGGCCTTTAATCCCAGTATTTGGTAGGCAGAGGCAGGAGGATCTTGGTGAGTTTGAGGCCTCAAAGTTGAGGCCCAAAGCTACACAGAGAAACTCTCTCAAAAAATCAAACCAAACCAAACCAACAACAACAAAAAGCATCTAATTGGTCTAATAAAGAGCTGAATAGCTAGACAGGGCAGAGGACAGGTGGGGCTGACATGCAGAGAGAATAAATAGGAGAAATCCAGGCTTGCTAAAAGGGAGGAGCAAGAAAAGGAGGGGAAAGGTAAAAATCCAGGGGCAAAAGCTAGACCTGATAATAACATAATAATAATAAAGCTGGTTAGAAACAAGCCAAGCTAAGGCCGGGCATTTATAATGTCTTCATGCATTTATTTGGGAGCTGGGTGGTGACCCCCTAAAGAGTAAAAAACAAACAAACAAAACAAAACAAAAAAACCCTAACAGTTCTCAGTTTGGGAGCCCTCAGGGCTCCAGGCCCTGTATAAGGACATTTTGGTCACCACACTGGGTTGCTAGTGGCACCTAGTGGCCAACGTCTCTGGCACACAGGCCAGACTCCCACACCATACAGCAGGACTGTCTGGGATGCTCACAGTGCAGACATAGAAACCCTAGACTGTCGTGGGGACACCACCTCCCTATGCCAGGCATCCTGCTACTGATGTCTGCCTCTGCGCCAGAGTGTAGGATACATCCGAAGCAAGAACATGCTCTTGTCTGACTCCAGGCAGACCCCACTTCTGAGAAAGCTGGGAATGGCTGCATTGTTTTCCCTAGTCACTAGTCAGCTCTGTAGTCAACTTCCTAACCCTGCTGGGATTTTAGTGTTATTTATAGGCTAAACATCTAATACTAGAGGTAAAAGAGAATACAGTTTTAAGTTTGTTTTTCCCCAAAAACGTCAGGCAGTTTTCTTCTCCTTGGTCTGAAAATACAAAGACAACGTGTGTGCGTTGGTAAAAGGGTCATCCATTGCTCGTTTAGTGTATTGTTATTTGGAAAGTTGTCACTATATTCTGACCCTCAAATTGTGGGGAATTTTATTGCTTTTAAGATTATTTGTCTATTTATTTACTGAGGCCAAGCCTTGCAGTGCAGCCCAGGCTAACCTTGAACCCACAAGCTCCTGTCTTACATCCCAGGCATGAGAGGATTGCATTTCCATAGCAGCTGAGGTCCATCTTCGAGGACCACTGAAAGTAACGAAGCCAGTCGTTTGGGGTAGCCCTATTGTTTGAAGCCCACCTTTTCACCGTTTCCCTAACAAATGGTGAATGCAAGCCATAAGACACTATTGCTTACTTAATTTCTTTTAAATCATTCGTTTCTATAGGTTGAATGATTTTACATTCTTTGAATCCTTTTGGGTATTTAGTACTGGGTGGTTTGTCAGAGGAGATTACAGGTTAACATGTTAAAACCCTGGATAAGTCATCTCTGACAGGTACTGGTGAGGCTAAATCCTGTCCTTGTACCTTTTCTTCCTGTTCATCAGTTCTGATAATTTCCTCAACCATTTCAAATCTTTTTACCACTGCCTTTTGTAAAGCCTGAATCTCTTGACCTGTGTATAATTCTAGTGCTTTCCTTGAGTCATTTAGCCTCTGGTCCTTATTCTGCTCATAAGATTCTAAGGAATGAAATTTTTCCAGTAAAGATAACATCTCATTCTTGGACATTATTTGGATAGTGTGCACATTGCCTTCCTGGAGAGATACTCTATCTGTTAACTTATCATAACTTTTTTAACAGATTTCGATTGTTAAATTCAACAGTATGAATTCTTTCAGATAATTTCTCAGCACCCTTTGACATGGATTGAAATTTGTCTGTCAAATTAATGCTATCCTTTTCAATGGTATTAATTTTTTCAGCTAACTTTTGATTTAATGGTATTAATCCTATCAATTAGTTGTTCATTATTACTCTGTAAAGACTGTATCATTTCTAAAAGTGCCTCGTTCTTGGCTCTGTTATCAAACCGTTTTCTTAAGGATATAATATGAAAAAGAAAACTAAGTCATTTTCTTAAGGATATAACATGAAAAAAAAGCTAATTCTCAAAACCAAATAAATGGATGTATAAGAAAAAATCACATAAGCCTTGCAGAATACCTCCCATCGTGTAAGCAAAATGGTTATTAAATTCCTGGATGGTGATATAGTCTGTCATTGTATAACTTTCAAATTTATTAATTTATTTATACTTAACTACATTGTGAGATTTCAGTAAATTATTGTAGGTATAATAATCTTTATTTTCCAGCAGGTGTTGCGGTTGTGTGAATAGTCCTGCTCAGTTTGCATATTGGTGACTGGTTTAATACTGACAAATATGCTTTGCTTGACAAATTAAGAACAATTATTAAGAGCAATTAAAGGGATTCTGTACATGGTTTTTGGTGGCCAAAATATCAAGGAACCCAAAACTTGCCAGCAGTCGTGGGCCACAAAGGGACCTGTGCACAACCAGCAGACATGACATGGTGGGGATCGTGGTGGGAATAAATCCCAGGATGCTGGAGAGGGTGCAGCAGTGCACTGTGGGTGGGAGGCAATGGCGGGAAGTGATGAACTCATCCTGGTGGTTGCAGGCTTGTACCCACGATGGGCAGCAGATGTAGGTGAACACTAATAACGTAATCCCACAGTAGCTCAGAATTGAGTATAATAAGGGGTTCTTTATTTAGGGGTACTCACAGATCACAGTCTACTGCACGAGTAGGGAACAGGAACTGAATCCAGCAGCCAGGCAAGAGAGGAGAGAGAGAGCAGGCACACAAGGCAAGGCCACGCCCAACCTGGCCCAGCCTCCCAAAGGCCATTGGCTGAAGGAGGTTCCCGGGCGCATTATCATCATGGAGCTTCATGGCGGCAGGTAGGCAGACATGGTACTGGACCTGAGAGTCCTATATCTTGGTATGTTCGCAACAGGAAGTGGCCTGAAACACTGGATGTGGCTTGAGCACATATGAGACCTCAAATGCCGCCTCCACAGTGACACACTTCCTCCAACAAGACCACACCACTCCAAGAAGGCCACACCTCCTGACAGCGGTACTCGCTTTGTGCGCCATTTTCTTTCAAACCAATGCACCACTGCTTCTTGTTTACATGTTCCATAAATAAGTACATATGAAAAATTTTAAACTTAAAAAACTTCTCAGAAAGAAGAGATAAGAAAAAGGGACTCACTGTGGCCCAGTGGGAGATTCAGCACCAAATTCTAATCTAAACAGTCAGGCAGTGATCAACGCGTGAATGTGGACAGCTGCTATCCACTGTTCTGCCCAGAGATTTGAAAGCTAAGCCTTTCCTTAATCTGTGCTTCTAGATTAGAAACTTGTGCACAACACCAAGAGGAGAAAGTTTGTTAAATTAGAAACACCACAAACTAGTTATTAATGTAAAATATAATTTAATTTCACTCTTTCCATTATTTACCACAGAATTAAAAAACAGTAATATATACAGACAAGAACAAGAGAGTTAGAAAGAGTTGGACATGGGAAAGAACTCATCATTCAAGAAGCTGGATGACAGCAGCTCCCCTGAGGTCAGAGGATACCCCAGCCCTGACTGGCACCTCAGTCTCTACAGCAAGACACCTCTGGCCCACGTGCCTTGCTCAGCTGCCAAAGACCACTGCAGTCCAGGCAGGGAGGCCAAAAGTGCTTCTCCCAGGCCTGAGGGGTAGGAATTAATCCAAAGAATGCCCTCAGAGAAGGGAGAGAGTAGCCACATTGCCTCTGGAGAGTTCTAGCCCTCAGCCCTGTTCTACACCGGGCAAACCACGAGGCAGTCATCTCTCTACCTGGCCTGACGCAGCCCCAGGGACACAGGAGGTTCACAACCCCTTGCTGAGCCCAGAGATCCTGCAGCCTGAGATGCAGTTAATTGTTGATTCTGATCTCAGTGAGACACAGCAGCACTACATAACTTAGACCAGCCTCAAACTAACAGTGATTCTCCTGCCTCAACTTCGTGAATACTGGGATTGCAGGTGTGACTTTTTCAGCGGGACACTGCAATTTCCTCCTCCTCATTCCACCGGTTCCTGGTTCTTCTGCATTTCTGCTGTCTTTGTCTCTCAATAAATTTATGTATTTATTGACCATATGGTGTCAATATTGAACCCACGTTTTATGTAGCTTGAGGCTATCTTCACGTAATAAAATCCATGGAACTTCAAATTCTCACTCTGTAGCCCAGGTTGGTCCAGAATTTTCAGCCATCTTCTTGACTTGGCTTCTGAGGACTGGGGTAACAAGAGTGAATTACCTCATCCCTCAACCTTTGGTCCATTTTCATAACATCCACCGAGCAAAATATCCCAGTGTGGTGCTGTCCAGGAGGAACATACATTCGTCACCTTAGAACAACAAAACAGCAGGGTATACGGGTGCAATCCCAGCACTTAGGAGACCAAGCCAGGACTGTGAGTTTCAGTCAAAAATAACATAAAAGTAAAAAGATATAAGTACAATTAAATTTATTTATTTATTTATTTATTTATTTATTTGCCTTAACTGCATATATTCCAAATAGCATTGAAATAGTGAATGCAAGCTCATTAGTGCCCAGCCTCGGAAGAGGTAAGATTTCTCTAGTGGCTTGGCTGCTTTGCTTTTCTGGTTTCTGGGTTTTTATTATTTGAGCTACATCCTTGTCCCTTACAGATCTGACGAAAGTTCTGCTCGGTCAGGTACAGTGTGAATAACTGGTACTCAGGATCACAAAAGGACTCCAGGGTGAGGGGCTCATGGCTCAGCAAGCCGTTAGCTGGGAGGATAAACCACCACAGAAAAGATAAAAGGGAGTCTGGACCCGCGTTAGAGCCCGAGGGTGTCCCGGCTCTTGCCGGCCTGTCTGACTTGCCTCTGTAGAGCACAAAAAGGGTCTGAGTGAGCGCGGCAAAGACAGTCAAACACAAGGTGATAAGTACCACCACTCAGGGCGAGAGCCGGCTCAGTGGTTAAGAGCTTTTGCTTGTCTTCAGAGGACCCACATGGCGGCTCACAAATGTGCGCAATTCCAGTTCCAGGGGATCTAGTGCCCTCTTCTGGCCTTCACAGGCACTGCATGTAAGTGGTACACAGACATGCAGGCAAAACACCCATACACAAAATAAGATAAAGTGTGATTCTTCAGGAAAACGAATAGATAGCCATTTAAATAATCTTTTCATTTTATTTATTTTAAAGACAGGGTTTCATGGATCCCAGTCTGACCTTGAACTTCTGACCCTCCTGTCTAACTCCTGAGTGCTGGGATTACAGGTGTGCACCACCACACCTGGTTCACAGTCCTAGCAGCTGAACCCAGGGTTTCCTGCATGCTGGCAAGCACTGTACCCACTGGGCTGCATTCCTAGGCCAGAGTTTCAGATCATCTCAATTCTTACACTCCACTTGAACCATCTCTGGGTTAATCACTGTCTTAAAATGCCTTCTAAAATGTAAATTATTACTAGAATGTTGGCTTTTAAGCGGGTTTTCATTGCCTCGTCATTTTAACGACTGTTTTTAAGCTGGGAGTTGTGATGTTTGGTTTTAATCCAAACACTTGGGAGGCAGTGACAGGTAGATCTCTATAATATCGATATGGGGCCAGCCTGGTCTACACAGTAAGTTCCAGACAAGCCTGGGCTACATAGATCCTCTCTCAACAAACAAACAAAATCATACAACAAAACAATAACAAATAACTATATTTGCCACTTGCTTCATTCCTCTGGCTACAGACAGGGATGACTAACCAATTACCTAGCAGGTTACAGCTGTCTCTAAAGTCAGCTCGGTCACCAGGGAACTAGTGAGTCCTTTGCTACCACAAACACAACTGGATTATATACATTAAACATTAACAACCTATGGATTTAAGGCGGGACCTCCCACGGGTCATTTAACCTGCCTGGGCCTGTTTTATCCTCCACGCCGAATCTTCGCTAAGCCAGTTTCAACAGCAGAAACCAGCAGGACAGCTCTAGCTACAGTGAAACCCCTTAGTGGTCATATTGTCTGCTGGCAAGATTCATTGCCAGGGCCAAGGGCTCAGGGTCCATCTTCTTCCGCCAACAAGGCTGGGACGGAAGTCCTCTCCCTTGAAGTCCATTGTAACGTGCACAAGTTGGCCTCAACATCCTAGCAATCCTCGCCAGGTTCTACACAGGCTGTGTACAGTGTCCATCATCAGCACGGCCTCATGAGCTGCTCGGCCTCTTTAAATGCTCGAGTGCTCCCCATATCCTAGAAGCACCAAGCTCTTTCATCAGTTAGGGAAAGGCTCAAGGTGTGGGAAGATGTCACAGCACACAAGCCGGCGTTCTCAGTCTTTTAGGCTATAGACAAGGAAAATGTCAATATGTTAAAATTCCCATACTCAAAAACAAAACTATATATATAAAAAAAGAAGCAAAGTAAAGCCCAAACAATATGGTTGGCAGCATTTTTTTTTTGGTCAGAACATTTTAGCAAAAATATGGCAGCCCGACCCCAGGCTAGTTCACTGAGTAAAGAGAGTTTGATGAACTTGACTGTTTCACTGTGGAGGAAAACATCTTGTTCTCCCACAACCATGTGAGAGTAAGGTGCAGATGTATAAAAATCGATAGACTATTAATAAAAGATAAAGACACAGTGCTGGAGAACAGCGTGATTTGTAGGTGGAACGCTCTGCAGGGAGCCTCCCTTGAGTTCACCGTCTCCTGTGGATCAAACACTAGAAGATCCACTGGACGTCGCCAAAGTCCCCAGGGTCACCCAGACCCGCCTCTGCTTCCAGGTAATTCATGAACGCAGCCATGGCCATGTCATCGTTGTCACCCAGGGCATCCACATGCAGCTGGGCACCGTCACCTGGAAGGTAAAACACAGGCTATGTAAGCCCGGGGAGCCGTGAAGGAAGCCGCGTGTGACAGTAACTGTAGGCAGAGTCTGGAGAAATAGCTGAAGAGCACTGGCTGCTCTCGCAGAGGCTCCACATGGTGGCTCACAAACATCTGTAACTCCAGTTCCTGGGGATCCAGCAACTGCTTCTGGCCTCCGTGGACACTAGACATGCCTGTGCACAGACATCCATGCAGGCCTATCTCTCATACACGATTAAATGAATTAAAAATAAAATAGCCATAATCAAGAACAGAAAAGTCAAGAGCATCAACTCCAAAAAATCAGTTGCCTTCCTATACACTAAGGATAAAGAAACAGAGAGGGAAATCAGAGAAGCATCACCTTTCACGATAGCCACAAAGAGCATAAAATATCTTGGGGTAACCCTGACCAAGGAAGTGAAAGATCTATTTGACAAGAACTTTAAGACTTTGAAGAAAGAAAT